CGATGGATGTCGTTACACCGGAGCTTGATGTAAGATTCGCGTCGTTACACTTTTGGTTGGCTGGCTTTGGTTATCCTACCATTTAAATTCCAGTTGTGCGGAGCTCGGACCCTGCAAGGGAAACAATTCACAAAATTATTGCAATGATGCATTAGTCACACCTGATTTTTTGTGCGTATTGGAACATTTAAAAAGTTGTTATTTCGAAGTTTTCTATGTTTTTATTGGCATTTCCCTTTCTTATAAGATAATTTAAATTATCTGGAATCTATAAATGTTGGGTGTATGTGATGAAGTTTTGTTCCATGAAAAAGCTATTAATAGCACCATATCCATTCTTGCTGGTATAATGTTATAAAAAAAAAAAAGGTAAAATGCAGAATGTGGGTCAAAGAGATATGTTATATGCATATCTTTTTTAGAAAAAGTAAATGTCCGAAGCAGAAAGATTTTAGTAAAGTTTTCTTTAATTCTAGACAGCTTTTCATCTTCGCATTTTTCCCCACAATCAAATTTAAGTTTAATGATGATCTATTTAAGGGGGCCTTTCACTAATTTTATGTAAATGCATCTTAATTATCTTCTACTATCTTCTCTAAATTAGCGGACGAGCGAATTTTTTGTTCACATGATGTGTACGCTTATGTTAAGGGTCGAGAAATTAGAATGTTGATATATATATATATATATATATATATATATATATATATATATAAAAATAAAAAAATATATAATATATATATATATATATATATATATATATATATATATATATAAAAAAATAAAAAAATATATATATATATATATATATATATATGTTCATATGAATAAATTACTGTAAAATCAATTGCTTGTTGTTGATGTTTCCAGGTGATTAGTCTACTCCACCGTGTGGCCAGCTACCATGCAACGATCAAGTACATTTTCTTTATTTTTCTAGGCGAATTCCCGAACATTGACACCATTTTAGCTCAGAAGATTTTGTCAAACTGCAAAAGACTGTGAGTTTCTCTTTTTTAAATGCGTTTTAAAGTGAGAGTCTATTCGGTATTGATTCTCTATTTGGCAGCTCGATTTCATGGACCCGTGTGAGCATCGAAAGGAGTCCACCAAGCTCTCCTCCCCACACCCTTTCCCCGGCTTTTGCTCGGGAGCATTCGGCACCTCTATTTATCACCCCCCAACCCACCCATATCAAGGAAAGAGTATCGAAGCCTTAAATACCTGCTATTTGCTACTTCAAATGATAATCTTGATATTACAAAACTATGTTGTATACATTTGGATATTTATTTATTCAAGGAGCGAAACCAATCTAGTGCTAAAAGCACACCCCCCCCCACCCAGGTGTGGCCACATTCGGAATAAGACCAGATTATGTAGGGAATCAAATGTGGCCCCTGTTCGACATTATTGTCTATTTTGGCGCTGTCATTTTCGCTGCCAACCCAAAAGCTTGAAACGCCAAGACTTCAACCCTTCTAGTCCCTGTATCATACCATAAGAAAGGAACACTATTCCCAATCGAATATAATACTTTTTTTAAAAAAAATCTTTCAGGCGGCCATTCAGTTGCGACCATATCAGAATTGTGCATTGGATGGCTTTGAGTCAAGAAGGCACAGAGTTTGAGGCAGATTGGGACAATTGGCATTTCTGAGGCCAGACGCCGCACATTTGGACCTTTTTATTCAACATAGAAAACTCGTGATCTTGTGGGCGTGTGTGTTGTATGCATACAGTGCATGAAAGGATTGCTCCTGTGGTGCACTCTCTCTGGAATGTTTTGCCATTTGTTGTTTTTTTTTAATTTTTAGTTGTCTACCGTGAAACTACTCAACAAGATCAACTTTTCTAATGTTAAAAGGCTGTAAGTTCAATCTGCCAATTCATCAAAGAAGCTTTGATCAAAATTTAAATTCTTTATATTGTATATTGATTTTTTGTTTAAATATTGATAATTTTTTGCGTATAATATCTATTTCCTCCTTTATATGCTATTACTTAAAGCCGTAAGCATATCATTTATGCATGTAACACTGCCACTTTCCATTAATATCTAATGATAAAGCTAGTTTTTAAAGTGTAAGTACAGTTTAAACGTCCGGACACAATGTTGTAATGTATAATTGTTTAATCTACATCAAACCATCACAATAGTCTGTTGAAACACCAAGAGCGTTCATCCCAATGAAAGGTATTGACCAATAAATAAATTTTAAAATCTTAACATTCATATATCTGATGGTCTCTTCAATTAAAATTGTTTCGTATCTATGTGTTCTTTGGTAATTATATTTTTTTTTGTTGTTGTCGACTGACAGTTGTTGTGTCTTTTTGGCACAATCTGCTATTTAGTAATTTACGTGTAGCCTATATTTATGTTTACTTCAAGCGACTGTAAATCATGCATCCGCTATTGTGTTTGCCAATCCTGAGCAGAAGGTGACAGATGTCCCTGGGCGCTTGGCTAGTTAGGGGCGCTGAAATGTGCTTTGATATTATTTTATTGATGAAAAGAATGGGGTTTAGGGTTTAAAAAAAAAGAAAGGAAGGCCTTTTAAAATGAATCTTGCCCCGGGCGCCAAACACTCTAGCTACTTTGTTAAATTACTTTGTTATGAACAATAACATTTGACTCATGTAACATGCAAAGAACAAGGGAGGGCGCAAGACGTGGGGAAAATAAAACTCACCAAAGGAAGAAGAAGATGAAATCGCGCCCAGCACACAAAAGGACGGAGGAGAAGTTTACGAAAACACGGAGTGTCATGAGTTGAGACGTTTGATAGACTAAAAAATTAAATTCATTAAAACAGAATGAATTTCAGCACAAGGACTCTTTCAGGGTAGTCTGCGGATGAGCTTCGGGGGGAAAAAACTCTTGAGAACATTGACTGGATCCGGTGTAGGACCAACCCGGAAGTAGTCCTTTTTATCGGCACTTCAACGGATTCAGAATATGACTGTAGTAACAAGACTTCACTATGACATTGGTAACAAGACTACACTATGACAATTGTAACAAGACTACACTATAACAATGGTAACAAGACTACACTATGACAATGGTAACAAGACTACACTATGACTATGACTACACTATGACAATAGTAACAAGACTACACTATGACAATGGTAACAAGACTACACTATGACAATGGTAACAAGACTACACTATGACAATGGTAACAAGACTACACTATGACAGTGGCAAAAAGACTAAGCTATGGCAATAGTAACAAGACTAAACTATGACAATAGTAACAAGATTACACTATGACAATAGTAACAAGACTGAAACAAGACCTGGGTAAAAGGAATAAACTTAGTCTCACCTAACATCACCTATCATCCCGATAGCCTTTAAGGCCAAACACATTTTTTTCTGGAAACCCCATGCTAATAAACCGGTTGACATGCATTCTGACCATGTGTCCGAAACATTTGAATGATTTTTTAGCTGATTAAGATGACAGAAGTTATTTTTCTTGTTTCCCGGCTCTGAATGTGGTGTCTTCCATGTTTACAAGCAGCTCGCCTTAAACATCTCACCTCAAAGATGACTATCTTTCTCTCAAGACTTTAATTCAGAGCCCAGGTTAACCCTATAACTCTACAGTGAGTTTATCAGAGCCCAGATTTAACACTGTACCACTACTGTGAGATTATCAGATAGCCATAAAAATTTAAACTTAGATTATCTGCTCTTTTATATAGATGATAATACATTTTTAAAGATGTACATAATTTCAAATAAAATGTGAAAGATTAAACAGACTGAAATTATTCCAGCTGTACCAAACGACGCATTCGAGACATTGCTATCCTCATAACATTTACTGACCAATATAATTTTTCTTTCTTTTTTTTTAAATGTATCGCAGTTGTGTTTGGTGGGTATTATGTTTCTTTTGTTTTTTCTGAAATAGTTGAGGAAATAAATCGACAATGTCAAATTATTGGGCCATTAAAAAAAAAAATATTACAAAAAGACTCCCAATTACTAATTGAGTCTTTTGAAGGACTGTTCTTGTTTCCGTGTGTGTCAAATTCTCTCCCACTCCTTTTTTTTTTTGCCTTCTTCCAAATTTCTTGATATTACATTTTATAAAAAGATTTACCTTTAACGTGTCTAATTTTATATTTCTTTTGTTTTTTTTGAAATAGTTTAGGAAATAAATCGACAATGTCAAATTTTTGGGTAATTAAAAAAAAAAATATTACAAAAAGACTCCCAATTACTAATTGAGTCTTTTGAAGGACTGTTCTTGTTTCCGTGTGTGTCAAATTCTCTCCCACTCCTTTTTTTTTTTTTGCCTTCTTCCAAATTTCTTGATATTACATTTTATAAAAAGATTTACCTTTAACGTGTCTAATTTTATAAATGCTATTGTTAAGTAATATTACCTTTTTATTTATATGTCTTTTATAGCACAGCTGGAATTGGACACATTGATAAAATTGTTTTTTTAAAAGCTTTTAAAGCAACCCTGAGAAACAACAATTGTTCGCATCAATGATCAACACACATTTTAAATATGATTTTGTTAGACTACATTGAAAAACCCGCTTGAACATCGCAGATTTATTTCACAAACTTTTCATAAAAACAAAGAATCATGTCACGAACCAAACGCACTTACGATATTTGTTTTTAGCTATCTCATTGAGAGCATTTTTCAGGAATTTTATTTCGTGGACATTATTGTCGTCATATTTCCTTCATATTCCACTTGAAAAGCCGTAAAACTAATTTTTTTTTGTGAGTGTTGGTGGTGGATTTAAAAATGTGTCGAATGTTTTGTCATCAGCAACCTGTCTATTAGCCAAATTTAAGCTCGTTAGGTTGACGGAAAGTGGGTCAAATAAGTATCCGAAATTCTGCAGCCCAGCCAGAGAGAAACGCACGAACACAAAAGCGAAATTAATATGAACGATTTGAATAAATAATACAGAACAACATGTTTGATTTTATATTTTTAAATATATTTTGCCATTTATACACGAGTAGGATTGTTGCACTGGTCTTGAACAAACCAGGTCCACATGTTGGTGCCAGGGTACCACTGGACGCCAGTGTCTTTGTTCATCTTCTCGCACAACTTACACGGCCAGCTTTCAACGTACGCGGACTCGTACTGACTCTTCGTTCTCAGCATCTTCAGGTATCGATCCTTGTCCTGCGACAAATCCTTTAAGTATTCGCCCAGGGCCTCAGGCGAATCGAAGTCTGATGCGTCTATGAAAGTATCGGGCGGGAAATAACGTTTGTAATCGGCGCCGCCGCGTACAACGGGTATGACGTCAGCATTCGTGAAAAGTTTAAACAATTTCTCCGTGACGTAATCGACGCACAAGGAATTCTCGAAGGCCAGGTAGTAAAAGTATTTCCTGCTCAGTAAAGGGAAACAACGACTGTGGTCTTCCCGTCGTTTGTTCGAACCCTCGGCGCAGGAGTAGTTCCCACATTTCCCGAAGACGTGCACGGGGACTATCTTCTGCAAGCGTTTGACGTACTGCAGTCTTAAACTGCTCGTGTTGCAATGGCTGACAAACCACGCGGCCTGCACGCGCTTAGAAGAGTAGACGGCGTCGTAGTTCTTGTCAGGTGCCGGCGTCACTCGTCTGAGTTTCCCGTACGGTCGTGGGATGTCCGAGTCCAGGAGGTAGGTGAGGCTCCAGTTGAACTGACCTGCCAAGTTTTGGAGGGAAATATGTGTTTACGATCTAAAAAACAATTATAATTTTTTTTTTATTGTTGAAATATTGTTTTTTTGGTTTTAAATTACCTTTTAGGTCAATGGTTCTCAACATTCCTAAAATGTGACCCTTTAATACATGTACATATGTTGTGGTGACCCCAACCATACAATTATTTTCGTGGCTACTTCATAAATATTTATTTTCATATGGTCTTAAATGACTTTTGTTGTAAGGGTCATTCGACCCCCCAAATGTATCGCGAGAACCGCTGTGGCCGTGTTAAGTATCATCTCACCTATGAACTGTGGCGTGGTCAGGATCCGGAAGTTCCTAGCCCTGCAAGGCGCCTCGGGGGTGAACATGACCCACCTTTGCCGCGACCGTCGTGTGAAGTTGGGAAGAATGTGCGCCCTCGTCATCCTGGACATGGTAGTGAAAGGCTCTGTTGCATTTGGATTGCTAAATTTTAATCTATACATTGTGTTGTTGTTTTTTGTTTTTTGTTCTTTTTTTTTGTGTGTTTGCTCTTTTGTAGTGAGAAAAACGTTTCAACCTCAATGTCTGATTACTTAATATTTCTATTTATTATATCACACGACTTCTGTGCAATTGTTCCTTGTCGTTTGCAAAGAAGTCGTGTCAATACATCAGGTGGCATGTCAGATTATTCCCCACAGGTATATCCAGCAATACGAATACTCCCCACAAGAAGATCGAGAAACTATGGAAAAAGGGGAATAATCAACAAAAAGAAAATTCCCAACAAAGAAAATTGGCCACAAAGCTAATTCTACACACAAATACTCAGATTTACTTTTTGTTTGAGCTTGCTGCAAGTGCAACTCAAAAAACGTATTTTGTTCTGTCCAGACTTCAATGAAGTACATATTTTATATTTAAAAAAAAAGGTAGTTACGGTTTCATGGCGGATGTTGCTTATTTGTGTATTGTGTATTTGCCTCAGTTAAAAACCACAATTCGCGTCAATATTGCGACCTGTTCAGTGCCGAAAGAGTTACGAAAATTAAAGAAAAATTGAATTTAGTCATTTGTATTTTTTTTTTTTTTTTTTAAATTATTAAAAAAAAATTTCTTATTTTTTTTTTAGGTCTAAATTTTATAAAGGAAAAAAAACTTTTTTTTTTTTTTTTTAAATTATTAAAAAAAAATTTCTTATTTTTTTTTGAGGTCTAAATTTTATAAAGGTAGAAAAACTTTTTTTTTTGTGGCACTATTTGTAATTTAATATTCCATTATTTAGTCCCAATCAGATATTGCGTTGAAAATGAGTAATAAAATAAAATAAATTTTTTATTTTTTTTTGAGGTTTAATTTTTATAAAGGTAGAAAAACTTTTTTTTTTGTGGCACTATTTGTAATTTAATATTCCATTATTTAGTCCCCATCAGATATTGCGTTGAAAATGAGTAATAAAATAAAATAAAAAAAAAACAAAAAAAACAACAACAACAAAAAAAACAAAACAAACCCAATCAAATGGTGTGTTATTTATAACTTTTAACTTAGAAATGTGTTTTCAGAAGAAATCTTTTTTTTTTCCTTTGCAGTTATGCGTGCTGGAAATTTCCCGTGTGCGGAATATTTTTTTAATGTTTTTTTAGATTGCGCAATCTTCCTGTGTGGAATTTTGCATCGGGCTAGGAGCTTTGTGGCAGGATGTGGGGGAACAGTATAGAGTTAAAAAGTGTGTCGGGGGCCTTGTCCTCTTGGAGAGTGCATAGCTGACAAAGTTATAAATGATGGTAGCGACTACAAATACAACTTCGATCATTATTTAATAGTCCTTACATTTTTTCTATAAATTTTCAAATCATTTGTCATTCTACCAAATTATCCCCCCCCCCTTTTTTTTACACACACACAATTACAAGCACAAATGACGTCGTTATCAACTTATGAATTAATTTGCCAAACAATTAGACTTCCGTGAAGGAGATATGTCAAGGTCGTTTGCCTGGTGCTATTTATCTATCACTGGGAAGTCGTTTCCCCCATGCACTCACTTGAAGGGATAGAACACGACCACGTTAGCGTCCCTCCATTCAAGCGTGACTTCACAGTTGTTAAACCTGCACTTCTTTAGATCCAGCGCCCCCGTGTGGAAACAGTTCTTGGTTCTATTCTCACATGGAAATAAGTATGCCATAGTCCTGGCCACCACTGGCCTGGCGTTGGTGTCCCGAAAAACGAGCTTCTCTCTTCGGCTGGTAATACCCTTGAACTCTGCAGTGGGACTTCCGTCCTCGGTGTCATCTGGGATCATGAAAGGTGACGTGAAACGATCAGAGAACGTCTCTCGAGTAACACCAGTTGAAGATGAATTCTTCGAGTAAGTTTTAAATGGAGCCGGCGTTATTGAAAACGATGAAGGTGACGTTGGGGCTGTTGGTGAACGAGACACGATTACGGTGGGATGGAGAGGTTCGAGAAGACGGTCACGTGACGTGTGGTCTGGACCAGGTTGTGGTTGACTGTACCAAAGAGGGGGCCCTGATGGAAAAAATGGAAGTCGAATGTTAAAACGTGTCCACGGGTAGTGTGTCAAGTGTGTGTGTGTTGTGTGTGTGTGTATCACGTGGGTGTGTGCGTCAAGTGTGTGGGTGTGTCAAGTGGGTGTGTAAAGTGGTTGTGTCAAGTTTGTGTGTGTGCGTCAAGCGTGTGTGTTTCAAGTGTGTGTGTGTCATGTGTGTGTGTCAATTATGTGTGTCGTTACTTAATCAGCATTTTTGTTGATCTACAATATATTGATCTATTGATTCAAGTTGTTATTTTCTTATTGATTATCAAAATTTAAAAAAAAGTCATAAATGACTTACTATTTAATTTAAAAAAAAAAAAAAAAAAAAAAAAAAAAAAAAAAACTATAACATCCTTTATATTTATTTATTTCTTTTTATACTGATCACGCAGGGTTACGAAGAAAAAAATACTTTTTTTAAAGATTAAAGCTGAATATAATAAAATATACACTTTTAAAGCAAAATTCATATTTAAAGAAAAAACATAACCACACATCTGAATTACATTAATATTCTCATGCTAAAGTCCCCTTTACACATCATATTTATGTACTGTAGCAAAAAGGTATATGCCGCAGAACAATTACATCGGAATTGCAGTTTAAATAGCTTTCATATTTTTAATAACTGTAAAGCGATTAGAGCTGTAAGGTAAGCGCTATAAAAAAAAAATGCCTAAATAAATAAATTCCGTGAACTTCCCACGTGAACTAAAGTGACTGGACAAAACATGCTTTTCAAATAAAGCAGTTTATAAGAATCCCAATGAGTGCTCCATTCTAACAGCATTACCCCAATTTTATTTTTTTACCTTCCCCTGAAATGTGTTAATATTCTTATATCCCCCCCCCCCAAATACTCCCCCCACCACCCCCCCCCCTTCTTTTTTTAAAGGCAGATTTCTTGAGACCATATTTAAAATTAGATTATTTCCACGAAACAAAAGATAATATGACGCCCCGAAAGCTGTTACTTTTTTTTTAAAATACTAATCTCATTTAACAGAGTTATTGGGGATTTTTAATTAGTGAAATTGCTCCGATCGCTAACGTTAGAGAAATAAGCATTTTGATGTGTTTTATAAACATTCTATACCATACTTAATATATTGCACTAATCATGTAAATATAATAGTAAATATTTTACTGTAAAGCATGTGATAGTTGACTTTGCAGTAAATTTATAAAGGTAACATAAAAATGTAAAGAGTTTAAAGATATAAAAAAGAAACTGTTCATACATCGTGGTAAACGTACATGGCGGTAAACATGTGACTGTAAACATGTGACTGTAACCATTTGACTGTAACCATGTGACTGTAACCATGTGACTGTAACCATGTGACTGTAACCATGGGACTGTAACCATGGGACTGTAACCATTTGACAGTAACCATGTGACTGTAACCATGTGACTGTAACCATGTGACTGTAACCATTTGACTGTAACCATATGGCTGTACAAAGATGGCTGCAGCTGAGGATTTCCTAAAATTGAGAATGTTTGCTCGGACTTACCGAAAAGTCGATCTTTGACCGTTCGATTCCCGGACACCGGAGCCATACCCAGATCCTGTGTCAGGTAATAGACGGCGACCGGTGGCAGACAACACGCCAGCACCCACACCAGACGCCGCCTACCCACAATGCCCGGGCAACGTCTACAACACAACGATGGAATCCTGGGGTTCATTTAGTCCTTCTGAGTCTTTGAATCCGCTGAATCTTTTAATCGGTGTTTTCTCGCACCATCAATTCTTCGTGAAATGTGTCCCCCACCACGACGTACGGCGATGCACAGCTAAACTCTGACTTGATAGCCTGCAAATTACGCTGCTCCCCAATGGATTTGATTGATTTATTGATTGATTGATTGATTGATTGATTGATTGATTGATTGATCGTCTCGAGTCGTAATCAGGCCATCTATTTTTTTGTGTGTGGCTTAATAACAAGCTATCTTTCCGTATCAGTTTACTTCAATTGATTTATTTTCGAATCATGAAATGCAAACAAACAATTTAAAAAAACAACAACAGTGGAAAGCATTCAAAAGCCATCATCTCAAGTCACAAAATAGAGTACTCAAGGTGCGAGGTCTCTACACCATCTCCAACATAAAAGTGAAAAGAGACCTAGGTATCATCCTTTCGTTTTCGTTAGCTTTAAAAAAAAATTTTTTGGGGAGATTTACACTGACATATTACACCGACACATTTTCAAATCTGAATACAAACCAAACCAACATCGTGCTGAGAATAAGACCGTAAGAATCCTATTTTATGAAATCATGTGATGTAATTGCGAAGGTATTAGTCCTTTAGAAAATGAGTTATGCAGCCATTTCATTCCTTTGAATTTCATAACTTTGCCAAATTTCATGGCAATACCGACTAAAGGTTTTGGCAAGCGGCGGGTGTTGCGATACATCGATTAAACACTGGACCGTCAATCTCATCGATTAAACACTGGACCGTCAATGTCATCGATTAAACACTGGACCGTCAATGTCATCGATTAAACACTGGACCGTCAATGTCATCGCCTCGTTACATTATTCTTTCAAGGGCTATAACAAAAAACACGTGGTTTTTCCTTTTTTTATTTATTTAGTTTTAATTATTTTTTTAAAAATTATGTCCTATGTTGCAATAGATTTTTAAAATACTGTAAAACCAAATGAGTATTTTTCTCATTTTTTTCCTTACATTGCATCCACCGGGTCTTACAGTGTCTAGAAAATTTCAAGTAAACCGGTCATTTAAAAAAAACTACACATTAAGTCAGTGTCCTTTAAAAAAAACTTTAAAATAAGCCACTTTCCTTTTCAAACACTAAAATTAAGCCATCATACTTTTCAAACGCTACAAAATAAGCCACTATATTCTTCAAATACAACAAAATAAGCCAGTGTCCTTTGCAAAGATTACGAAATTAACAAGTGTCCTTTCTGAAGCTACAAAACAAACAAGTGTCCTTTCGGAAGCTACAAAACAAACCAGTGTCCTTTCGGAAGCTACAAAAAAAAGCCAGAGTTTTTTTTCAAACACTACAAAATATGACAGTGTCCTTTTGAAAGCTACAAAACAAGCCAGCGTCCTTTACGAAAACTACAAAATAAGCCCCTCTCCAAAAAAAAAAGAAAATGAAAAAGAATTCGGAGTCTTTTACTACACCTTTCAAATAAACCCTTCTCCTTATCTAGCAGGAACAATAAAATAGGTACCTTTTAAATAGCTTAAAGTAATTCACATTGTAAACCTAAAATTGATGAAAAAAAAAACCCAGATTCTATACCTAACAATCCAAAACAAACTACTATATATGCCGAACAGCTTAAAATAAAAGACTATCTGTGCCTAACAACCTAAAACAAACGTGTAAATTTCAAGCATCTTGAACGTACATCATAATATTAATTGGTCCTTTAGAGAAAGCTGCGATCGAAAGAAAGGTTAGCGGTAAGCTTGCAATAAATGTCTGAGCTATTCGCTTGACACTGGGAACAGCTATTGATTGACCGCATGTTAAAAACCAGTCACATCAAAGCTTCGTTAAGGACGCATGCAAGTGGTATCAACTTAATATCACGATTTCTTCTTCTTTCTTGCCCCGAATGGCTGGCCCTATGGGGTACACTTTTTGAACATTGAACTTTTGTTTACCCTCCTGCAATAAAATATGAATGCTTATTTGATGCAAATTATGGGCTCTCAAAACAAATGGGGTACGTGTTCAATGGTTTAAAAAAAAAAATGTCATGTGTTTGTTGTCAAGAGGGTTAGAGATGAAATATTCACAACTGAACAATACTCCCAAAGTTTCCATGTAATCTAACTTTTTTTTTTTTTTGTTTTTTTTTGTTTTTTTGTATCGTTTGTTGTTGTTGTTGTTGTTGTTGTTTTTTATATCATTAAATTTGATTTAAAAAAAAAAATGTCATGTTTTTGTTGTCAAGAGGGTTAGAGATGAAATATTCACAACTGAACAATACTCCCATAGTTTCCATGTAATCTTACTTTTTTTTTTTTTGTTTTTTTTTGTTTTTTTGTAGCGTTTGTTGTTGTTGTTGTTGTTGTTGTTTTTTATATCATAAAATTTGGACTCCGGTTTTATGAATAAGATTTCGACAAGTCTGAGAGTTATGAGGAAACAAATTGTCAAATGCGAAGGTCTGATTTTTTTTTTTTTTAATTTAAATTTACTGTAACAGTTTATGTTTTAAATCATATCATTGTGTTACTTTATCCCACATTTTGTGAACGTCATCTTCGCTATGAGAAGAAGCGGCATGATTCATTTCATTTACATGGCATAAATAATATTGGTAGATTCCAGAACTGTGCTTTCAAGCTAAAACGGCTCAAAAATTGCAACCAGAACAAATTTCAGCCGTTAAGACCTGTAGGAGTTGATCACCAAATTTCAGCCGTTAAGACCTGTAGGAGTTGATCACCAAATTTCAGCCGTTAAGACCTGTAGGAGTTGATCAACAAATTTCAGCCGCTAAGACCTGTAGGAGTTGATCACCAAATTTCAGCCGCTAAGACCTGTAGGAGTTGATCACCAAATTTCAGCCGTTAAGACCCGTAGGAGTTGATCACCAAATTTCAGCCGCTAAGACCTGTAGGACTTGATCACCAAATTTCAGCCGTTAAGACCTGTAGGAGTTGATCACCAAATTTCAGCCGTTAAGACCTGTAGGAGTTGATCACCAAATTTCAGCCGTTTAAGCAAATAGGAGTTGTTTTAAATTTTCTTTGAAAATGTTGGACCTTACATTAAATAAATACTACACAAATTAAAAGCTTTTAAAACTGACCAATGAAGCCACCAGTTTTATAATTCGAACATTATTCATGCTTTTTTAATGTAAGGTAGTGCAATTGTTCCGTGACTTCAACTACCGAATCCATTTTTTTGTGTAAAACACTTAGCTACTATAGTTTAACACGCTCAAATCTTTAAGTTTAATTTATTTAAAACATTTTGTTTAAAGTAAAAGAACCCTCATCATTATTAAATCCCTTGTTAGTATTAACATTTTTAGTTTTTTTTGCACAATAATGTCCTTTTGTCGAGTATTTATTTCTGTATTGATGTTTACAATTTAGATTAAAGAATAAATGTAACAAAATAAAAATAGTCTTTGTAGCTGATTGTTACTAAATGATGTATTTTAACTGGATAGTTCGGATGCAAGGGCAAAAATGTACTTTGAAAACATGAAACAAGAACTCATCACACAACTCATCACACAACCCATCACCAACCCATCACACAATCTATCACAAAACCAATCACCAACTCATCACACAACTAATCCCACAACTCATTACAAAAGTCGTCACACAACTCAGCACATAACGCATCACACAACTCATCACACAAATCATCACAAAACTCATCACACAACCTATTAAAAACCTCATGGCACAACTCATTACTCAACACATCACAAAATTCATCACACAACTCATCACCTAATCCATCACACAACTCATCACCCAATCCATTACACAACTCATCACCCAATCCATCACACAACTCATCATCCAATCCATCACACAACTCATCACCCAATCCATCACACAACTCATCCCGCAATTAATCACACAGATCATACCCCAAATTATTGCACATACCATCCCACAGCACATCCAACAGCACATCCCACAGCACATCCCACAGCACATCCACATCACATCCCACAGCACATCCCACAGCACATCCCACAACGCACCTGAACGTTGTCAGGTCGATACAGAATAAAGCATTTATAAAAACTGTCATCTCCCCTACACTCATATACAACCTGGGCCAAAAAATTAAGACTTTTAACGATACTTGAATAAAAAATTTCCTAGGGCAAACAACCCATTAAATATTGTTATCTGTCTATGAAACATTTTTAATGGGTCCTAGCGAGTCATTTATTAAGTTGGGGCGGGAAGGGGAAATGAATGTGAGCCACATTCCCTTTATAGAGCCCATTAATTTTCCTCTAAGGGAAATAATAAAATTAAAATGAAATCAGATGGATTATCCTAGGGCGTTTCGTATGGAGTTGAAAGGAGGAATTCTTAACATGTCAAAGTGTGAACCCTCAAGAGGTTAGCTGTTCAAATATCGTAAAAATATTAGCCCTTAAGAGGTGCGCTGTTCAGTATCATTTGTTCAAATTTTCAAAATGGTAAAATGTTAGCCCCCAAGGAGGGGCGCTGTTCAGAATCATTTGTTCAAATGTTTAAAAAACTCAATTCCCAAAATGCTGCAATGATGTCTAGGCGTTTTAATAAATAACTCGATTTATAAATTGATGTCAAATATATTTAATGAAATATGATTTGAATCTAACACTGACCCAAGTCAACCCCATGCTTCCCACTAATCTATTCTACAACAAACTCCACAGTCCAATATTCTGTGTCACATCCAAAATACAACCTGTTTTCAACGCTCACTACCGAATATTCAAAAAACGCGAATCAGAAACACATTACGAAAAAAACAATAATAATTTACCGGAATTTTTTTTTTTAAAAATGTAATGAACGTGTTATTTTAAGTCCAGATTTCAATTTTCATGTTTCTAATGCACATATGTAGTCAATTTAATGCAGGGATTCTCGTCATTGTGTCTCGTCATGGGTGCAGGAAGACGGAGATGCGCTTTTTGGGGTGGGGACAAAGCCCGCAATACAAAGGATTTCGGACTCATCGGCACTCATCAACACTGCTATCTTTACGGCGAGGCGAAGCGATTTCTGTGGCGATCCTTCTAGACTCAAGTTTCTTCTCCCATCATTTAAGACCCAAGATATAGACACATGTTTTATAGATCCATGTTTCTAGACCCATAATACCAGACCCATGATTCGAGTTCCAGGTTGACATAGTGTTCATTTTCACTTGCCTGAAACTTCAAAGTTATCTAGAGCATTTCAGGGCCCATAATTTAAAGTTTTCTAAAGCACTTCCGGGCCCATAATTTCCAAGTTTTCTAAAGCATTTCTGGGCCCATAAATTTAAAGCTTTATAATGCATATCTTGTCACATAAATTCATTGTTGTTATGAATGCCGTGACGACTGGATACATAGACAATTTCTATATAGACTGCTCTTGACAGAATGTTTATTAAACTTACTTTCAAATTCTTGTAGATCAAATTATTTTGACCTTTTAGCTAAATAATATCAACGTCCTTGACACGGAGCCCACGCTGGATCCAGGCTGTGGAGTTAAAAGGAGTTTAAAATTATCTGCAATGTGTACATTTCAACATTGTTAAGTCATCTCATTCTCCCTGTCTCTCTCTCTCTCTCTCTCTCCTTCTCTCTCTAATATCTTTTTGTCTTTCAAATATTTATATTTTATTATTTGTCTCTCACCTACTGCCTTCGTGTTTTTCGCAACAACTTAAATCCCGCACTACATACAAATTATCCCTTTATCTTTAAGTTTACTCTATCATTGCCGTATTCAATCTGCCCGTCTCTTTGTCTCACTCTTTTTCTTTCACTCATTTTTGTTCATTCATTTTCTTTCATACGGTTTCTTTCACGTGATTTCTTGAACTCTTTTTGTC